AGTGGGATACCTCTAAATGTTTCTGGAGCAATTCTCTAAAAAACTGGATTCAAATTTAGAATTTTATTTTTTTTTAATTTTCTTGTCATTTTTCTGATGTTATGATGTTGTGGAAATTCAAAAATGTCCCAAGGCTGAAGTTCTAAAGTCCATAACTCAAATAATCTTTATCGGAATTTGAAGTGGGATACCTCTAAATGTTTGTGGAGCAATTCTCAAAAAAACTGCATTCAAATTTAGAATTTTATTTTTTTTTAAATTTTTTGTCATTTTTCTGATGTTATGATGTTGTGGAAATTCAAAAATGTCCCAAGGCTGAAGTTCTAAAGTCCATAACTCAACTAATATTAATCGGAATTTGAAGTGGGATACCTCTAAATGTTTGTGGAGCAATTCTCAAAAAAACTGCATTCAAATTTAGATTTTTATTTTTTTTTAAATTTTCTTGTCATTTTTCTGATGTTGTGATGTTGTGGAAATTCAAAAATGTCCCAAGGCTGAAGTTCTAAACTCCATAACTCAACTAATATTAATCGGAATTTGAAGCGGGATACCTCTAAATGTTTGTGGAGCAATTCTCAAAAAAACTGCATTCAAATTTAGAATTTTATTTTTTTTTATTTTTTTTGTCATTTTTCTGATGTTATGATGTTGTGGAAATTCAAAAATGTCCCAAAGCTGAAGTTCTAAAGTCCATAACTCAACTAATTTTAATCGGATATTTAAGTGGCATACCTCTAAATGTTTCTGGAGCAATTCTCTAAAAAACTGCATTCAAATTTAGAATTTTATTTTTTTTTAATTTTCTTGTCATTTTTCTGATGTTATGATGTTGTGGAAATTCAAAAATGTCCCATGGCTGAAGTTCTAAACTCCATAACTCAACTAATATTAATCGGAATTTGAAGCGGGATACCTCTAAATGTTTGTGGAGCAATTCTCAAAAAAACTGCATTCAAATTTAGAATTTTATTTTTTTTTAATTTTCTTGTCATTTTTCTGATGTTATGATGTTGTGGAAATTCAAAAATGTCCCAAGGCTGAAGTTCTAAACTCCATAACTCAACTAATCTTAATCGGAATTTGAAGTGGGATACCTCTAAATGTTTGTGGAGCAATTCTCTAAAAAACTGCGTTCAAATTTAGAATTTTATTGTTTTTTAATTTTTTTGTCATTTTTCTGATGTTATGATGTTGTGGAAATTCAAAAATGTCCCAAGGCTGAAGTTCTAAACTCCATAACTCAACTAATCTTAATCGGAATTTGAAGTGGGATACCTCTAAATGTTTGTGGAGCAATTCTCTAAAAAACTGCGTTCAAATTTAGAATTTTATTTTTTTTTTAATTTTTTTGTCATTTTTCTGATGTTATGATGTTGTGGAAATTCAAAAATGTCCCAAGGCTGAAGTTCTAAACTCCATAACTCAACTAATCTTAATCGGAAATTGAAGTGGGATACCTCTAAATGTTTCTGGAGCAATTCTCTAAAAAACTGCGTTCAAATTTAGAATTTTATTGTTTTTTAATTTTTTTGTCATTTTTCTGATGTTATGATGTTGTGGAAATTCAAAAATGTCCCAAGGCTGAAGTTCTAAACTCCATAACTCAAATAATCTTTATCGGATTTTGATGTGGGATACCTCTAAATGTTTGTGGAGCAATTCTCAAAAAAACTGCATTCAAATTTAGAATTTTATTTTTTTTTTAATTTTTTGTAATTTTTCTGATGTTATGATGTTGTGGAAATTCAAAAATGTCCCAAGACTGAAGTTCTAAAGTCCATAACTCAACTAATATTAATCGGAATTTGAAGTGGGATACCTCTAAATGTTTGTGGAGCAATTCTCAAAAAAACTGCATTCAAATTTAGATTTTTATTTTTTTTTTAATTTTTTTGTCATTTTTTTGATGTGAGATATTAGAATTGAAATTAATTCCAACACCATTTACTTGAACTGAGATTTAGTATGAAATTTCCCCGAAAACATAATGATTCTATTTTGACAGATAATCGCAGCACAACCTCAACCCTTTCCATCGCTGCTTTATTTATTTATTTAAAGACAGTCCCGAATCCGAAGCGCACACATGATGTCTGTGATTGGAAATAAACAAAAGCAATAGCCATCTCGAATAGTTTCCACAACAGGAATTACCCCAGATATGGTCTGTAGTTTGTAGTCTGTAGTTTATAGAGCATCCCAAAAGGCGACCCATTGCCACATCAGCGACTCACTTGATGGAGAATGAGGAGTAAATAAACGCGACCATTTGCAGCATTGTCAAGTGGAAAATCATTGACAAATTTATGAACCCAGCCGGGCGACATATAGTACCCTCAACGAGAACAAATACACGAGTGTATATGTTTACGTATGTATATGTATTTATTTATCCTCGAACCGGAGAGCGGAAAACATAAAGTTAAAAATTTCATTAACAAATCGACACCGGTCCGCCTCATTACTTGGCAACAAATAAATTTTATTAAGTACGCCCGGTTTTATTTACGATTTTTCATTAAAGCCATTTGCTGGCTGGCATGCCGCATAATTTCCACCCACCGAAGTTGACCAAACCAAACATTCGGCATTCGAGTGTATCCATTAATGTTGCGGCTTATTTGTTGCACTGCGTTAAAGGAAAATTACAATCTGATCGCAATAATGTTTGCACATGCACGGCACAGGGCAAGGGTCATTCAAACTGTTGCAGCTAATTAATTGGCTGGTTTTCCGATCAAACATTCTCCGCAAGCTCGTGCAAATTGGCGGCGAGTGTGATTCACTCCACTCGCACATTAATTGAAATCGAATCTTGGGCCAGACAAATCATAAATTGTACGACAGCAGCGCTGCCCACGCACAAGAAAAATTACCTTAAATCTGGGAAAGTTGATAATCACCAGCGGAAATGGTCGAGTGTTTTCCCAAGAAACGTCGCCGCGCGTCATCGCCACTCATATAAACATCAACTCGCATTGGCATCAGGTCTATAGGTCTTGGCCAGAAACGCGACTAGGATGCACTTAAAAAAATTACCAAATATATGGGAAAATTCTATGATGATGATCTTGAGGGAAAACTATTTCATTCGAGCTATCAGACTGGATTGAAGTCTGGGTAGTTTGCTATGTTAAAATGATTGGTCTTCATTTAGTTATTAATTTTGTGGTGTAGTATGAGACACCTCATTTTCTCCCAGTGACGCAAGTGCTGCCAAAATCGCCTAATTTTAAGAATGATGTAAGTTGTCGCAATCGTGCGACAACAAAGGCGGTGGCCACACAGTTTTGGCCAGATGCCCAATCTCTTGGCCAGCCCTGCGACCGATTCGCAAATGACGAGCGCGCAAGTGGCAGGAATTGTGTGTTAAACGTTTCTGAATTGACTTGACGCGTTTCGAGCCGAGGGCAGAAGCCCCCTAGCAGGGGCAGCTGCCAACCTATGCCAACCTCATCCAACCTCATCCAGCCCAGCCCAACCGATCCCATCCTGCAATACACCAAAAAAGCAAAAAATAAAAAAGAGTCGCCACAGTCATCGCATTCGGTGAAACGTGCGCCAAATCGCGACGCTTGCCAAAAATCATAAAAAATATATGGCGATTATAGGGAGATGGCATCATTTAATGATGAAGTGCCGCGTTGGGCCAAAAAAGGGATTGGGAATGGGAACATGGAAATGGAAATGGATGTGGATGTGGATAAAAGGAAACTGACTCATGCTCCGGAAACGTCACTATCGCAATACCAGCCACAATGGGCAATGCACTCGAGGACCTAGGACAATACAGTACTTCCATTGGCGAGGGGAGCAAATAGTTTTGCAATTGCATTTTTGTGGCGCAAATTAAAAACATATTGTCAGGCATTAGCGGACGAGCTAAATGCGCTAAAAATAGCGGTAAGAGAGCGCGATCTTTGAGATACATTCTGCAAGATGCGCTGGAGAACAGGGTGCGCGATGCATGCGCTATTTGTCGCGCTGGCAAATGAGTTGCCACAATAAATATAGCCCATGTATGTAGTACAGTACTTACGCCCGCCTGCTGCTTCTGATTCCCGACTCTGTGCAGCATAAAAAAAAGAGAAAAAAAAGAGGGAGAGAAAAACGAAAATTATGTGGCAATAAAAAATAGTGCTAAAACATTCGACAGCCTAGCTGCAACTGCAACACCAACAAGAAGAAGGGCACCGCACACTTGCACACCATGTGTGCAACAACAAGATCGCGCAGTGCAGCAGCACGGCTGCAAATGGAAAATGGGCGGGGAAATCTGCTGGATCGGGGAAATGGGCTGCGGATCCAGCAGATCACCACGCAGCCAGCGACACTGCCACGGTCAAGTGCACTGTGGAAAATGCGCCGAGGGATGGGTGTAGGGAAAAGCAGAGTGGAGTGCTGGACATAGGTGTGTTCTGAGCACTTGAAGTATAGTTAAAAAATGTATAAAAAGTATTCACAAGCTTAAGCAATAAATTAATCTGTCTTAGCAACAGGAAACTTAGGGAACTAAGATATGTTAGAACGAGTTTAGGAAGTCTTAGTTCTTTGTGACATGCAGTTTGATTACTTATGTATATAGCTTATCGAAAATAAGGAAAGTTAATTTTACATATTTTAACATTTATTTTAAAATTGTAGCTCAATAATTCGTTGCAATTCTCCCATTTTCCACAGGGCACTTGTTGTAGCTCACGCATAATTTCTATACGCAAACATAAGCCTAAAATAACAGTATTAACAAGAACAACAACAAGCGGAGCACAACTACACCAAGGACCGGGAAAACCTACGGAGGGAGGGGGCAAAGTGCAGGGAGCAAGGGGTGAGGTGGAGGTGGAGGGACGGCGACGCGGACTGCGGCAGCACATGTGCGTGCCAAAGGAGAAGGAAAAGCGGGCAGAGATCGCTCAGCTCTGCGTCAACTGCGGCGGCGGCGGCGGCAGCGGCAGAGGCAGGATCCAACGCTCCACGTTCCCGTTCCCGTTCCCCTTCCCCTAGCCGTAGAACATCCCGTTCCGGGCGTTTAAATATCGTGCGGCAGCAGCTCTCCGGTTTATTGTCAGCCAGATCGCGGTGGCGTGAACATCGCAAGTGTTGAACTAGAAAACTAGAAAGCCCTCGGATTTGCGTGTGTGTCTGAGTGTGCGATTTTCTTGGGATTTCCCGCGTTCGGTGGCCGTAAAATAAAAAAAAAAATAAAAAAAGAATAGCAAAGAAAACCAACAGCAAGTATTGGCAATCTTCCCAGACAACTGCCGGAAATGCGAAAGTGAAAGCGGCCGGCCAAGAAGAACGGACGACAGCAAATCACCAGAGACGGAGCCACCGAAATATAGTATGTCATCCTCGCTGAAGACCAGCCAAAGTGGCGGCATGTACGTCAAGACGTCGGCGATTCCGGGCATTTCGTCGATTTCTGGCAAGGAGGCGGCCAGTTGCTACGGCGGCTTCATGTCGCCCCCGCTGAGTGCCAATATCACCCATGCGAATAATGGGGAGCGTGAGATGTTCCGAGTGCCGGGAGCCAAGGTGGAAACGAGTGGCGGCTACGCCTGCGGTGAACTTCAGTTTCCGGACTTTTCACACCTCTGCTTTGCCGCCGAGACGCCGAACTCGGTGTTCAGTGACTGCCACAACTACGCTGGCCAGGATCAGCAGCAGGACTCGGATCAGGATGACATAGTTTGCGCGGCGGCGGAGAACACCGGCATGCCCTATCAGCAGGGTCAGTACACCCAGCTGAATCGCGAGGATATCTTCCGCTTCGAGCCGGAGGACATAGCGCGTCTGACTGAAGAGTCCGAGCTGCCCGGCCTGCTGCAACATCCCCAGACGCCATATACCCCATATACCCCGTACACACCCTACACACCCTGCAGTGCACAGAACAGTCAGTATGCCGTGCAGGCGGCGAGTGACTCCATTAATCTGGATATCGATTACTTTAATTACGACGAGATTAATTGCCAATCGAAAAACCAATCACCGTGCTCATCACCGCACCTCGACGCCTGGCTGAACTTCAATCTCGGCGAGATTTCAGCGGCCGCAGCATCGTGTGCCGCATCCCCGAAGCTGGGCAACGTGTTCGAGGAGCAGGTCAAAGAGGAGGCCTCGCCCGCGAAACTACCATCGATGAACTCCACCTTCGGCACCCCCAAATGCATTCCCATGTGCGCCAGCAACTACGAGGATTACGCGAATCTCTACCAACAGGGTTCGGCGTATTCCACGGAGAACTACCACAACAACATGGCCCAGGCCATCGAGAAGCCCAATCGCGAGCACAAGGCCATCTGGACCATCGATGAACTGGATGAACTGATGCTGGGCGAGCAGCAGCAGTTCTATCCGCATCACTTGCAGCAGCAACAGTTGCAACAGCAGCAGGAGCAGCAGGAGCAACTGCAGCAGCAGCACGACCAGGAACAGCAAACCCAGTGCAGCAAGGACGATCTGGTCAACTATCTTGCGGATGAGTTCATCAAGGCCGAGGAGTTTCGGGCACTGGACAGTGACGATGACGATAACTACAACGAGGAGGAGGATGACCTGGACAACGACGTGTTCGCCCCGCCGGCGGAAAGTGATCCCAAGCCGGATTCAACCTGCTGCGATCTGGAGGCGGAGCCCGAGAATGAGACCGTCCCACTCATCTGCCGCTGGACGGGATGCGACGAGGAGTTCCCCCACCAGCAGGCCTTCGTGGAGCACATCGAGAAGTGCCATGTGGACGTGCGCAAGGGTGAGGACTTCTCCTGCTTCTGGCTGGACTGCCCCAGGCGCTACAAGCCCTTCAATGCCCGCTACAAGCTGCTCATCCACATGCGCGTCCACAGCGGCGAGAAGCCCAACAAATGTCCGGTAAGAATGCAATTTTTTGACCCCAATAACTTAAAGTTAAAGTTCACGTTAGGGGATTTCCTTGTAGAATATTTTATTTGTAAGAAAAATCGCAACCCATCAATTGAGATACATGTGTATTTTCTCTCTGTTTACCAACCAACCAACCAGCCTTTTCAATCCCACATAGAATATCATTTTTCAAAATCAAACAATAGATTTGGATTTTATCCATTTTTTTCCCCTGGCCGCAGCTGGCGCATTTGTTTATGCGTCCAAACAAGACTTTTCCGCCGGAGGATACCATTTCGTGCGTTTCGGTTTCCTTTTTGTTTGTACCACCGTGGATGGTATGGTATCATGCACGTGTTGACATTTGATGCCCCATCGCTGGGATGATGAATTGTGCGGCGCAGGGCAATCACAGAAATTGACAGGGCGAGAGAGAGAGAGGCAGAACTAGGAGGCGGAATCCACATCCGGAGTCCACTTGAAATAGAGTTGCTGGTAATGTTATTAGGGCCAGCACTCGCTACATCTTCTATCCCTGCCCTTTGCCATGCGCTTTCATTTTGATTTTTGAGTAATTGATGGATTCTTGCCGCCTTTTTTTCATTTCGATTAAAATGGCTCGGACATCATCAACTTGCCCCACTGATGCTGCCCCAGCTGCCGTTTGCCATTACACATGTTTCTGTTTCTGTTTCGGTTTCTGCTAGTGTTTCTGTTTCTGTTTCTGTTGCAAGAACGTAATTTGCCCCTTTCAGGTGGAATGGTCGAGTGTTGCGAGTGGGGCTACGTGCAACACCTGCGGGCATCAGCGGCAACAGAAACAGCATCTGCTGTGAGGTCACAATTTTATGCGTCCTTCCAGTGCCTCATCCTCGTGCTTTATCCCCTTTCGCAGTTCCTTGCCCCCCCCTCCCCCTCCCCTGGTAATTGCAATTTTCGATGACACCTTTCCACCTTTTTGTTTTTCCATTACAGTTTCCCGGCTGCAATAAAGCATTCTCGCGTTTGGAAAATTTGAAAATTCATCAGCGCTCGCACACGGGCGAGCGGCCTTATGGCTGCCAGTATAAAGGTTGCCTCAAAGCGTTCAGCAATAGCTCGGATCGGGCGAAACATCAAAGGACCCACTACGACACGGTGAGTATCCCTATATGCTATGCATATGAGTGTGGGTGAATAAGTGGGCGGATGGTTTGGCCTTCTCTCTGGGGTCCCAGCAATTTGCAGTGCGTGTCAAAAGGAAAATGAAGAGCTCGCGGCAGCCAAAGATGCAGCTGGGGTTTCCCGAAGCGCGTGGAGCGGCTTTAAGATTTAATGGACTCCAAGGCGCTTAGCGGCCCAACCAAGAGCCACTCCGAAAAATAACAAAAAAATTGAAAGAAAATGGACGAGAAGCCACTGTTGCTGCTGCCAGCATGACATGTGCACATTTCGCATTTCGCATTTCGCTGCCTGAGTGATTTATAGTTTTGCGTGTGTGCTGTATCTGTGAGAGCGAGCGGTGCCCGCTGGCCAAAGTAACAGCAGCTGGAATAGGAATACGAATCCGAATAGGAATCGGAATCGGAACGGCATCAGGAGGGGCGTGGCAGGGGCTGGGGCAACAGCAGCCGCGTCAGCGCGTACGACAAGCGGAAAAAAGGTCAAAACCAGCGGAAAAGGCCAGCGATTCAGCCAGCAGCCATGGCCAGAATGGCCAGAACAACAGCAACAACGGCAACAACCGCGGCAGGCAAATCGAATAAACTAAACGAGTTACTTTCGTTGCCCAGCTGAAGGGGCAGGGCAGCCAATCAGGATCACAAAAGGATACAATGTGTGTTGGCTTGGCGAGGCTGCCAATGCCTGCGGCACACTCAGCAAAATGGGGGCTTCAAATAGAGAGGTTATCACATAAATTCTCGTCACCGTTTCTTCATTCTATTTGTAAATGCATTTACTTACAAAAGAAAGATTTTGCAGTTATGAATTTATGCACTTCCTAAATCTAACATAAAGTATAAATTTCAAGCTTTTTAGCATAAATGTCTCGTCCTTAGAGTTCAACCAATGCCACTTTCCAATGAAGTTAATGAAGGTCCTTTTTCGAGTGCACCGCCATGGCTGTTGTCGCTTTCGGCCAGCGGCTGCTGCCTGCCAGAATAAACAAAATGCAGCATGACATTTCAAAACGATTTGACTTGGCAAATACGCTGGCCCATCTGTTAGCTGGAGTACGTGTGTATGTGTGTGTGGGCCATGTGCGGGTGTGTGAGTGAGCGTGAGTGAGTTAGGAGCGCCTGCAGGGCGAATGGGAGAAATCAATTGCATAGTTTTCGGCATCGGCACTGAGCCTCTGCGGTTGCGATGCGAATTCGCATGTGAGGCAAATACTACAGTACTAACGCAACGCTCTACCGATTCTCGCTCTATTTGATACAGAAACCGTATGCCTGCCAGCTGCCAGGATGCACCAAGCGCTACACGGATCCCTCCAGCCTCCGCAAACATGTCAAGAACCACGCGCTGCGCAACGCCAACGGACAGCTGCGCCGCAAATCTGCCGGCGGCGCCTCCGTACCGCCCTCCGGTCCAAAGAAGGCGGCCAAAACCCGCCGTCACTCCGAGTCGGCGCTGGTGCAAAGGGGCGTGGGTGCGGGCGTGGGCGTGGCGAGTGCTGCGGGGGATCAGCGACAACACCGCAGCAATAGTTGCAGCGAGGCCTTGTTGCTGCAGCAGCAGCGGCAGCAGCAGCAGCCCGACAACGAAAGGAGGACAGACCGCAGCAATTGCGGCACCGGTGTTGCAGCTAATAACAATTCAATGAACTTTAATGAGTTGTCAAATTGCATTGTCATCATCGAGCACAATCAGGACGGAGGTCCTGCAGGACCTGCAACCCTGCCAACCGCAACGGGTACAATAGCAACAGCAACGGCAACAGCAACGGCAACGGCAACTGCAACATATGGCAATGGCAACATGGCGCCCGCACCGGAAACGGAAGTGCTGCGCGTTTGCAGCAACAATAACCGTTACAATGCGAATATTAATCAATTAAGCGAACTCGAGCAATTGCTGACGACGGCGAAGCCCACAGGTACGCCGGCCACAGCTGCTAATGGAATTAGCCTGGCCAACAACAATGGCCGCGCCAACGGCGACAGCAAATGCCACTTGAGCGAGTTTGTGTCGTTCGAGTACGTGACAAAATATCTGACGGATGTCTACGAGCCGCCATGCAAGAGCCCACAGCCACAGCCGGCTAATTTCCATTTGCAGCCCGAGTTTGACAACAGCTTCGACATGCTGGACTTCCCACAGTTCATTTAAGTTAGCTTAGACCATAGAACATACTCGTAGTCCCTAGGCCCAATTAAAGAAGTCAGCGATTCAATGCCCAAAGATCTCAGTGCCTGAGCCCTTATAAGAATGCCTACCATTAACTAAGTCTTAGTACGTGTACATACTAAATATAAGGAGTAGACTAAGCCTCGCCAAAACGAGGAGAAACTTTCCTGAATTTGAAAACATAATCCAGTGATTAGTGGCGTCTTCCCAAACTCTTCCCAATCGTATATTTAACTAGAATACTTTCGGCTAAGTACTACTTGTAATTGGACTGTTAAAGTTTGTCAACAAATTTATTGACCACAATAAATAATTTAATATGCAACCTTTTTTCTTAGCAAATGCATTTGAATATTAAATTTTATTTAAATATTCATTTTAATCACTTGGCAAAACATGCTAATGTATGGAGCACAAAAAAGTCAATGAAAAGATTGTTGGCAATGTTAATGAATTGGATTAAATCGAATTAAAGCCGAGCTTCATAAAAGTGTAAGTTTAACGAGTGTGTTTTTATTGCAGATCTGTGTTTTAAAATTATATTAACCTAATGGCTTTTTTTGCCTTAAGTTTGGCCCACGCGTACAGCACAATGCAATCATTTTAGAATGTAATTCAGTTTCGAGAACCTTCAGGGTGTCCTATGGCCATCAACCCTTTGAGCGGCGATAAAAAACCAGTTTTAAGTCCCCACCTGTATACATAATTCCTGTTAACGCTCCGTGATTACGCCTATCCATTCGATTTCGATTATATATCTCACACCTGGCCATTTCTGCGGAAAATCGGACACAGAGACATGCACAACATGTTGGGATTTCCGTTTCATGTTTGGCCGTCTGACTTTACTTAATTGCTCTGCATTCAAAAAATAATTTACAACGCCAGAGCGGCGCATGTTTGTATGCATTTAACATAGTTAATTTATTATACGCCTTTAACACATTCTCAGTTTTTCATTTATTTGTTTACATATATCGAATTAATTTGCATTGCATATACAATTCATAAAAATCGGCTTAAGTCTTTAATTAATTTGGGCTCAGGTCGCGCACGGGTTGCAGTTCATTCGGGGTCACTGAAACGTTAAGTTCAGAATGGATTAAATCAGTGCTATGCGTTCACTCGCCTAATTTGATTTAAAATAGCCCCTGCACCGTGTAATACCAAGTGCAGCGTGTATTGAAAATAGCCGGGGAAATGGTGGCTGTTCTGTGTCTCATTAAAAATGATCGAATTAAGCCTTAAACCTTGACTCGATGTTGCACTGTCGATGCAATTTTAGCGACTTAATAAGGCTCGAATGGCCTCTTTCCTTAACTGGTTGCAAATGGCCATGGTCGTGGTGCACAGCGGGCTGTTAATGTGTAAACAACTGCCGCCATATCAATGCGAAAGCGGGGGCGTGGCTGCCCGGCGGAGCAGTCAGGCTTAAATAAAGTGGCCAGAAGCATGGCCCCGTTAAATGAGCAGTTAACATTGCCCGTTATGAACTTTAATATTAATAACCATTTATGCTTATGACAGACAATGAAAGCCGTGCGCAAATTTACTCGCCGGCTCCGCTGCCGCAAGCCCCCCTCACACCCGCTCCCCCCCACTCTTGGCCATCCCCATGGCTCGTTTCTGTTTTCGCTGTTCAACTACGGCCCTAAAATGCTTAGGGCTGGTGGTTCGGTGGGTGGTTGGGGCGGCGGGCGGTGCACTATGCATTTAAAAATGCTGCAAGTGTGTTCCAGTTAATATGCAGACCGACACGGGTCTTCATTACAGCCCGCAAACACAGACAAGGACATAAACACACACACACACACACACTCACTCACTCACACACATGCAGCGAGAACTGCAGGGACAGCGTCAACAAAATAAACAAAAATGTAAAGCAATTAAAAGCAGCCCAGCAGAACACAACGGAATATCCCACATAAAACATGAGCAAAGGCATGATTTTGACTTTTTTGCTTGCTTACTTTCTATTACTCCATCCCCAACTGCCAAGTACTCGCCCACATACTCTGTAGCGAAGGATGTGCTCCATTTTTAAAGGGATTATACCAAAATTGGGTTAAAAACGTATACTTGATATAGTAAAATGAAGGTAGGACTAAAGGATCACTGGCCAAGTTTCAGTGTATCAAGCGTTTAGCTAATGAAACTTCATTTGAATTTGGGTTTACGTTCAGTTCGGAGTTTATATTCCTCTATTAAATAATAAAATGTGTAATTTTTGTGGCCAACAATGAGCCCTTCAAACCTACGCCCAGTGCCAATATGCCCTATTACCCTCGACTCCTGGTCATCGAAATGACTGTGGGACTGCCTGCTGAGGGCTACAAGTGGTCATTGGCTGGCTCCTGGCGCTCTGTTCGAGTGCGGATTTTGGTAGGATCCGAAATGAATTTTTTGCTTTTGAGGTTAAAGGGCAAAATCTGTGCAGCTAGGCGTCGGCGAACACGAGCGGATGGCAGCTAAATATTTACAAGCCCAACGAGAACACATCCGCAAACAAAAAGCGCAGACATGCAGACAGAGGGGAGCGGAGAGGGGGGTTTTATGAAAACGGGCAACCCATGTACGCATACATACTCGTAAATGTGCACATAACCACATGGTGGCCGAGTAATTGTTATGCCAAAGTCCCGCTCACAATTTATTTTTGTTAATCAGCAAACGGCAATTTCAGGCGGCCACGCCCACCGCCCACTGCCCACCACCCAGCGAAAACCACCCAACGCGCAGCACGCGTGGCAAGTGGCAACAATTCGACAATTATGTGGCATTTCCACTGCTGCCCCTTGCTGTTCGTTTTTATTTTAATTAAAAAGTCCCCCGCCAGGATGCAAAAAGCGAACAGGTTCGCGGGTTCCCACACCTGCAAAAAAGAAAAAGGAACCCATTCCATGTGTTAGAATTTTTGATATTTATGGGCACTGGCCACTGGCCGGTGCAAAGTTACAGCCCGATAAGCATCTGCAGCCGGAGGCACCAAGGGGCACCAAGGGGCACTGGAAGGAGCCCCAAAAAGCACCTGCCACTGCAGCTGTTGTGGCTGAGATTTTGCAGATTTTCGGTGCGTTGCGACGGTTTGGTTCGCAATTATGCAAATCGAAAGATCGCCACACAGCGATATCCTAAAATTCCATGCATTTACAATTTTCTAATCAATGGAATTATAATTTTAATTTGCAAGGCTGCCCGCCGCGGGCGATGTATCTTTTTTTGGGTTCTGGTTATTATTATTTGCCACGCAAATGGTTTCATTTTGCTGCCCTTTGAGGGCTGCGTTTTTCGATTTAAAAACAGCCAAGCCGGATGTTTCAATTAATTTAATCGCAGTGTGAAATGTGTCACTCACATGTCGCCCATTGAGCCGCTTTGTTGCCTATTTACTGGCGCCCTGAATGCGAATGCGAATGTGAATGTGAATGTGAATGCAATTCATATTCATTTTAATTTAATCAGGCTCTTGCGACGTCGCTCAACCGTAATTAAGTTTCTTTGCCGGGGCCAGAAGCTTCGTCAGCGTGTGAAAATAAAAAATATCCTTTACAGAGCCCCCGAAACGGCGACTAATGCAATAAAAGATGGCCGCAGCACGTTTTTTAATATTTAATTAAATAAATAATTCCCATTTGCCGTTTGCCAGTTGTCGTTTCAAATATTCGAACGCACGAATTTAAATATGGAAATACTTTGCACGCAGCCGCTGCATTTCCCATTTTCCATTTCCCATTCCCCATTTCCCATTTTGCATTTCGCTGCATTTCCGGTGGGCGACTCGTCAAACTTTTCTGCCCAAAATGCACACGCACATACATACATACACACACATGCAACATGAATGGGAGGGGGCATTTTTGGCCAAAAGTTTTCCCTCGGAGTAATTAGAAGACTTAGTCCCCTGCCAGGCGGTCCTCGGCTGACTGCTTAAAATGCTCTTTTGGCGTTAAATTTATGACAACCGCACATGTTGTTTGCCAGCTAGAAACAATAACAATAACAGTCCGCCCGGCGGCAGCCAGAGGCGTGCAACAACAAAGGCCAAGGGAGCGGCCAAAGGGGGGCAGATCGCTGAGGGGGGCGTTGCAGAATGCTCGTTAGAAAGTTTCTAAGGTTGCGGCCGCACACGAAACAGCTGCGCCGCCAAAAGGGAAGAAGGATTCTCCAAATTGTTGCACGCTTTCCTTCGCTTTGAGGCGGTCACATTGTTGCCAAGCTATACACACACTTGCTGCAGACGGTCTCTGTTGCCGGCTGATAAGCTACACAGGGAGAAAAGGTGCGTGAGGTAACGAATATGCATAAACTCTGAAATGGTGCCAATTAGATTGCCGTAATATGACCTCTGCTCTATAAATCTTAGGAATAAATAATAAGAATAAATCTTAAGAATAAATCTTAAGAGTAAATCTTGAGAGTAGATCTTAAGAATAAATCTTAGGAATAAAAATCAAGAATAAATCTTGCGAATAAATCTTAGCTAAACGTCAAAATATACCATATCTCCGTTTCATAACCGAAATCACAAGACTTGTTTTTGACCAAGTGCACGCTGGATACCCATACTCATACGCCGTGTGGTGCACTGACGTGACCTCCACTTGTGCGGCAAGTGCTCGAGTGGGCGTGGCAGCGAAATACTCGCTCCAAAGTGAATTTATTGTTTTTACCATTACCACTTAGCCGGGCCCGAAACTTGCCCGAAAGAGCCGTTTATTTTGATGCAAAACCAGGACTTAAGCAACCAAGGATGCAAATTGAAAGGCGGTGGAGGAGCGATGCTTTAAGAGCTGAAACCCGTGTTTACCCAAGGTAAATTGCACTCGATAATGAGTGCTTCACATTAATTAAATAACCAATAGATCGGTCTGGGTTTCCCATTGCAAATTATGCCGGGAGTGGCAGTGGGGGAAAATGGGAGGTACAAGCACACTTCCACTTGTCGCGGTTTTCGCAGCGATTTCTTTTACCCGCGACGGCGAAATTAATTGCATTGCAGCGATGCAGAGATTCACGTGGAGGAGCACTTGTTACGGTTGCCATTAGCGGTGCCATCATCATCGACCCTCGAAATCGCTGTAATTTCCAATAGATAATGAAATGCAATTAGAAAGTGTGGGTCTGAGCCTGTGGGCCACAAGACTTGCGCAGAATGCAACAATAATAGCAATTTAAACACGTTTTCCCCGGGCGAACGCGCATCAGAGTGCATAATGGCGCATAGAAGTTTGTAATTAAAGTTTGCCGACTCTGCCAGGTGGCGGCACCACGGGATATGGCCGTTTATTCCGGCCATTCCGACTAATCCGCGCCCACAATGCTGCACCGCCATCAGAAGTGGCAGCAACAGCAGGGGCAGCAAATCAATTTCTGCATCGCACTCGCTACTGGACGTGGATCTGGACTACGGACTACGGACTACGTACTATGGACTACGGACTATGGTCTGCGGACTCCGGCTTGGACTTGGTCTTCGGCCGCGCCTTTGTCAGGCACATCAACAAAAGCAGAAAATAAAATTCAATTAACGCGCTTAAATTAAACTGCCACTTCCTGTTTTGATGACATTTTCATGGCAGCCTCGCTCCGGAGAAGAAGCAGCGGGAGTTTTTGCTATTCTGCAGCGATAAGAATGCGGTTTGGAGCAACTGGAGCCTGTTGCTGGCGTGGCGCGCTCCTTCATTGCTGGTGCTGCTCGTCCTGCATCAATATTAAATGGTAAACGGCCGGCATAATGGCTGTCCAACTGCGGCTGTCATTATGGCACCACCATGAACCAGGACCAGGACAGGACAGGATTCACGCCTGCTCCCCATGACAAATAAAGCTCATTACGCGCTTGTCCGGCATCCTTCACTGTGCTCCTGATTGACCTGCATCTGCGCGTGGCACTGCCGTCAGCAGTCATAAGTTGCGCTGCACTGGGAGAAATGCCTAAGTTTATGCCCCAGATTACGAAATAGGTTAACGTACTTCAGCTTTCGAAATGAATAGGAACGGAGACCATGGATCACTTGCCAGATATCTAAGTACAATTGGCTTGTATTTCTTCGAGAGCCGCATCTATCAAGCGAAACCCCCTGGATGCAGTGCGCCCGGACTTCATTATCGAGCTGCCCAAGTCGGACGGCGCAAATGACACAAAGTCATTGGAGCGTTCAGGAGTGATTCAATTAGAACTCAACTTGGCCAAGTTGAACTCTTCGCTGCAGTTAGCTGGACCAACTTCTTTGCATCTCCATTCTGGGCCTTTGTGCCGGCCTGACACCCATACAATTCCTTTGGCCGGGTTCGTTTCTTTGCGCGATAAGCAACTTTGGCCAAGCAACTGGCATTTAATTTAATTAGAAAGGAAAACAGTGGCGCGGGGGAAAGGGGGATGCGCCTGATAAGAGGATGCTGTTGATTGAGATGCCGGAGCTCAAAGCAGACGGAAAGCGGATTTGTAGCAGCAGTTCTGGTGGAGGTCCTTTGCCGCATCCTGCGGATCCTGCAGCTCGCAGGGACAGCGGTACATCAGCACGGCCGGCTTAGTTTGGACAACCTGCTGGGGCAAATCTTGGCTCGGAGTGACAGGAGGTATGTGAACGGGCTGCAATCCAGAAGATTCATTGATGCCCGGGCTAGCGTCGGATGGCAGAGAAGGAGCATGCAAGGATGCGGCGGAGTTGCGGCTGCTGTCCGTTCCGGATTCCTCGTCAACGCCCTCGGCATTCGGCTTAACTCCTTCGTGCTGTAAATCATTCGCCGAGAGTGAAGGATGCGCCGCATTCCCGTCAAGCGTGGCATGCATTGTTGTCCTTTCGGGGGGCGTGGCTGTCACTGGTGATGTTCCGGCCGGGATTTCACTGGAGTCGCCAGCGCCATCCGTGGAACTAGTCCGCAGCAGGGTGGCGGCATTCGAGGCTGTGAGATTCTCCGTGGAGTAGGCGCAGCCCTCCAGCAGCTTGGTTAGGAACTTGTTCGTCGGCAGCACTGGCCTGCGCTTTCGCCAGGTGTCCTGTCCGCTTATCCTGTCCTGTCGCCCCACCACTGGCCGTGTTATCCCGGCAAAGAGCTTCTGCCGCAGCTTGTTCTCCGCGCGGCACATCTCGAAGGCGCTGGCAATGGTCAGGAAAATCTGCTCCGCCAACAGCGCCCGGCGGGGAGTGTAGAAGTCCCGGCAGACAGGACAACGCTCCGAGCGGATGCGACAGTCCACGCAGAGCAGGTGTCCGTTCTGGCACTGCATCGCCGGCGGAGAGATGGTCACTCCGCAGACAGGACACTCGACCAGCCGCAGGATGCTCTCCAGCACGAGGGACAGGCGGCGCAAGCTGGTGGGCATGGGGGCGCAGCAGATGCTCTATGGATTTTCGAGAAAAAAATGGGTCAGCAGGATAACTGAGGCTGGGCAAAATGGTTTCAATAGTGGAAAGTCGGGTTTTGGACTAGAATGAAAACACTCACATTAGTATCGCAGTCCTTGTCACACTCACTGTTCCAGCAGAGGATTGTGACGCAGTCCTTTTGACTCTTGACCATTTTGGCGATTTCAGACACTCTCAAGCCCAAAACATCGTGGCCATTTACCTGGAAGTCAACAATTGTATGTTTTAGAGAAAAGGTGTGGCTTTCGGTTGAGGAATAATGTTGTTATTGCTTATAAGAACCAGTTGGCATACAGAAAGCTAGCATCAAGTGTCTAAATATTTGGCTTTCCACGAGCTATTGAAGAAAACAAATAAATACTACCAAATATGGCCAGCACATTTCGAAATTCCAAGCACTGCTTGCAGCTGTACCGCGCGCACTGCTTGCGGATGTTAACCTCAGCTAGCACTGTTAACTCAATTGGCTGTTATCCGTTATCTGATAACTCATATTTGCAGTGAATATATACTCTGCGCTAATTAATCGTTGTCATCAACTGGTCGCTTTACTACGTTCGAGTTGTGTCATTAGTTTTGGGACGGGCTTGCGTTCCCAGCTGTTTCAAGTGCCCACTGCCTCCTCACCCACCCACTCCGCCTTCAGTAAAGGTGCTGAATAAAGCCGATGCCGAGCAATTAAGTTTTATTGCATTGCTATTTTAAGCAAACACTATCCACGCAGAACAACAAAGCGGCTGCAAGGTTCGGACTTGGATATACAGTCCAGCTTCCACAATTTAAATGAGCATAGCGCTTCAAGTTTGCTCCCAGAAATGCAAATCATTGTGTTGAAATGCTTTCCTCAATAGGATTTTTTTATATTAAGTCACGACTCATACAGACTTTAGAAATTACTGCCTTGAAAACTCGCAAAACAGCAAAAACGCAGGTAATTTATTTCTACTGCAGTAAGCTTGCTATTTTTTTCTTTCAACCAGCGAGATATTAGAATTTAAATGCTTCTTTAAATGCCTTAGTGGCACACAGCTAGCTTCAACATAGTTGGGCAGCTGAGGAACGCTCCCAATAAGCCTTTAATAGGTTTACAAACTAAGTTCCCCATCGATACATTGCATTGCCAGTTTTGCAGCTAGAGTTACCATTGCAGTTGGACTGCTCATTTCTGCAGCTGGAGGAACTGAAAACGGGTGCACCAAGCTGTGGCACTAGCTGCTACTCACCTCCAGAACACAGTCGCCGGCTTTCAGGCCGCAGAAGGCGGCGGGTGTGCCGGCTGCCACTTCGCAAACCTGTTGGTGTCATGGGGATATGGTAAATAGGGGGGATCTCCAATCGCTGGCTGCTCGTATTACCCAGGGATAGGGATCCCACTTGCTGCGGGTCAGCTGGAATCCGTAGTTCTCCATCGCAGGTGCGGCCCTGGGAATCCTCAGCAGTCGCACTGAGGAGCCATCGCCATGCGGTGGCTGGTCGCCATCCTCGCTGGTTGGGGCCTGAAATCCTCCCGCAGATTTCCTCATTGCAGGCTAGAAAACTCACAGACCGCTGCTGGGATCGCTATAAGCCAAAGTAAAAAGCGGCTGGCGAGAGACGTGTTCAACGCGCGCTCTCAGTTGGCAAACTGTTTTTCGTCTGTTGGCTTTTTTCGAGCCAGCTGGCGATATGTGGGCCGGCTGAAAAGTTGCCGAGCGGCGAGCACTGAACATGGAGCGCTTTGGGCCGACGCAATCGGCACGACAAACATTTTGGCCAAGCTCCCAGCATCGCCCATTTAACCCCTTCCCCAACTCGATGACTTTGGGCCATCTGACGCGGTGTTGTAACTGGTCGGCGCCAAAGTGTGGCTGCGGTTCAAGATTCGAGATTCGAGATCGCAGATCTAAGTTCCGAGATCCAAAGCTGACAGCCAGCTGAGATCATGGAAATTGGACTTGTGAAGCTAAGTAAATATTTGAACTTTCGGCTGGCAGCGGTTTTGGGTGCGCTATAAAGTTGCAGGTATACGAATTGTGACACCTTCAAATATACGGAATAAACAAGTTCTTCAGCGAGCTGATAAGCTGGAAAATAACTTTTCGTTTGAGTGCGCAAACTGCTGTAAGTGTGCGGAAGTGAAATCGAGAACAGGGCCAAATACAATAGTATTTAGTGCTATTGCTCTTAAATTAAAAACGTGCCATAAAAATAGCTTGTTTGTTAAAAGAGATTAAAACTATGGAATTAAGGTACCAAAACAGCGCACAACAAAGATAAATAACCGAAATAAAATGAACAAGACCTGCAAATGAAGTGTTAAATTGTATATTTACACAGTTTGGTTACAGCCTGCTCAAATTGTAATCAGATGAAATCGCTATTAGCAGTAATGCACACGAAACTTAATCAGTATAATTCCCATTTGTTGGCTTTTAAAGTTTTCCGACTGTGTAATTAAATTTGAAAATAAACATCACTATTTTTCGGCTTAATTGCGTGTTGGCAGTGCCAAATGGCCAGTGCATTTGCGATTGAGTGGCCAGCAAGTAAACCAAAATATTATTATTTGAAATGCCAAAGAAATTAAAACAACAGCGAGTGTGTTGGCACCGCACAAGGGTGTCAAACTGCGATAAACATAAACAATGGGGCCCTAAATAAATAATCGGCCCTAAAACCAGCTCGTCGATTAACCCTAACAATGATAACTGATGGAAATTGGCAGCTGACAAATGGATTTGGCATGGCATTGCATGGCCAGCCAACCCAAACCAACTCCATCCATTTGACTTTCGCTTTTTTGGTTGTTTTGTTATTCTTGTTATTTTTGTTATCGCCGGTTTAACTGCCATTGAGGCGGTAATTTGAGTTTGACGCTGCTCTGGTCGTCTGAAACATTGGCCAAATAGCATTGAAATCGGTAATTTCATTAAAATTTGCGCCCAGCAATACTGACCCTGGCCGGCGTTGTGGTTTGTGATTCGTTTTTGGCTTTTCAATTTGCCAGTTCAATTAGATTTGGCCGAATTTGAGTGGCGCACAGAAGCGCTCGGCAGCCAAAAGCCGTCAGCAGTGTCAAAATTAGAGAATGCTTGCCCAGGCAATAACATCAAAATTCATGTTTCTCGCACAGCCACCCACCCACCTGAAAGGTAATTGACTTTTATTAATCGGCCGGCAATTCGGACGGGCCCAAAGGCAAATGGCCAAATTCAAGTGCAATTCCGCCTCTTCAAATTATTGACTTGCTTGCTCGACTTGCTTGCGACCAATAGATGCGGTTTCCAGAAACCAAAAAACAAAAAAAACCAAATAAACAGCATTGAAAAGCTCGCTGGAGCTCAGTGCAAAGCTCTGCCCACAGGTGGCGCTCGGTTTGAGCCAAGTTAGGAGCTCTGCTGGTCAGCTGTGAAGAAGTCGAGCCTCAGTTTCTTCGCAACACGCATTCGGTTAAGTGCGCATGCGCCGCAAGTTCCGCTGGAAAACGCGAAGTGCGAAGCGCCGGCGCCAAAATAAAGTTATTACGATACGATCCCGAACCCAAAGAAATCGAAAATCATCTAGCGTGGCCGAGAGTTGTGAAAATTGATTAACCAGCTGGCTCACACAAAACGGTGGAAAAAAACGGTGTGTAATTGCTAACAAAGCATGGAAGGGCTAATGGCCCAAATGACCTTACGCTCACCCCACCCACTTTCAAGCCAAGTTAGTAAGCGTTGGCTTAGGTCAAGGTCCGGCTAAGATGCCAGATGCCCAACGCAAAGAGGCACAGAAGGAGAATGAAAACGCGGAAGTGTAACGCACAATTATAAACGCATTTGCTGGATACTCGCATAATTAAGAGCGGCAGACAAGTTTCCATTTCCTAGCTCCCAAGCAAACAAACGGGTCTAAATTGAATTAGAAACAGCGCATAAATCATACGTATTCATACGCAATGCTTGCGCAAACACTGTGCGAAAAAGGGGTGTCGAGGAAAACACACAATCACGTTCCAAGTTCCAATTGGAATTTACACGCCAGTCGCACAGTTCGCTAATTGTGGAGCTGCAGCTTCAATGGCGCATGCGCAACGTTTTTGGCCCGCTTTTGGGTTTCTGGGTCTCTGTCTCTGGGGCTTTTTATATCTGTTTATTTCAGTTTACTTCAGTTTTTTTCAGTTTTTTTTCAGTTTTTTTTCAGTTTTTTTTCCAGTTTTTTGAAGCTTTTTTTCAGTTTTTTTTCGGTTTTTTTCGCTTGCGGTTTCTTTCGTGTAATTGTGACGCAATTTTCGTGCGAGTTTGTTTTAGTCTCGCCCCGCCAGTTTTGCCACTGACTCAATACACTGAAAACGAAAGCGGCCACCAAGACTTGCAACTGGTGTGCAATGTGCACCACCTTCGGCGATTCAGTTGCAATTCACACGCGTATCAGCTCAGTTCGCTTCCTATAGAGCTAAAGATTCATAGCGTTCAATTTACGGTACAAACATGGCTGTGGGCAATTAGTTTGGGCCTCAATTGGAGCGTTACCAGTGGCAGTCATCCTGCATTTAGTGGCTTGCGTAATTGTTGGCCAGCCAATCGCTGCGCTTCATTGGCTTGCAGCAAACACAATGGCTTGGTGTCTGTGGGAGATTCTTTTCTTTTTAGTGGGTGCAGCTTCAACTTATTGACTTTATGGCGGCTTTGGCCAATAATTAAATCAAATGCTGCATTGCCCTTACAAGGGATAAAGCACAACGCTGGCTGATGGCCAGCCATTGTTCAATCATTACTTTAACTATGGCTGTGCCCACTTCAATGAGCCGACGTCATAGCGATTTCATGGCCAATGTCAGTAGAAGTGAAGTGAAGTGATTTCAACAAGTTTGCCATACTCGTACTCGAACTCATGCTCAAACTCACATCTGTATCCGCGTGCGTAGACAGCCGTGGAGGAAGCTATAGATTCTCAATCTGCGCCAAGTTCCAAGTTCTCGAGTGCAAGAAACATAATCAATTTCGCAGCGAGAATCTTCTAGGCTGACGGCCAAGCGAGTCGATTTGTGACTCAGCTAAAGAATTCCAGTTGGTAGAACAGCTGAGTTCTGGCTAATACTACACGGCAACAGTGTGTGTATGTATGTACGAGTTCCGGCTTGGCTTTGTTGCTTAATTGATTTTCCTTGGTGCTAAAAAGTTTGAAGGAAACCCTTTCTATTTTGTTTTTTTTTATTTGTTTTTGGCTATGCGCCGCAAAACTTTTGATTTATGTGCGCAAATTTTACGACTGGCAAACGTGGCGTATGCGTAATTACGACCACTTGGCACCGAAACTTTCTGCCTAATTAATTGGTCTTCGCCTCGAAGCTGCCGAAAGGTGAAGCAATCGCCCGTCGAAAGGTGCAAATGAGTCAAGTCCTGGAACTGGAAATCGGAGGACTCCGTTCTTCGCTCTCCGGTCACCGACCTCAGGTTGCCACAATCACACACACTCGGGGGCATAATAAATGCGAGTGTGTACGTGATGGGCATGTCAACTGGCCCTCTGACAAGCGAACTGAAACAGTTTGGCAACATTTTTCAAAGCGCCCCTCGCCTAGGTGTTTGTTTATATGTGTGTAAGCCCCGGTAATTAGATGAGCGCGGGTGTGAGTGTGTGCGTCTGCGGTGTTGAAAGTTGGCCAAGTTTACGTGCGACCTTGTGGCTAAGTGGCTGTTTTGATTTGAACTCTCCGTTACAGCCGAAATGCTTCAGTTGTGCACCATCTACGCCTGCGCGAACGGCACTTTGGGCCTGAATTTGAGCCGTGCCCCCTGGGATCCGTATCCCTGGGTCAGCGGGGTGCAGGCCAAGTCGAGCGCGGAGAGGGGCGGAGTTCGTCTGGGCGACACGCTGCTGGAGCTGAATGGAGCCGACGTCCTGGGACTGAGGATCAGTGAGCTGGCCAGTCGGCTGCAGGATCACTGGCAGAGCGGCGCCGAGGTCGTCACCCTGATGATGTGGCGCCAGCAGGCGAGCAGCGATCCGAATGAGGATCCTGCGGAGGCATCACACGCTGTGGTAAGTAGTGGCTCCAGTTGGCCTAATTGGGCCGAGATGAGTGCAGAAGTGTGCTGCTTATATGGGGCATTGTCTGGCTTGAGTGCGCCACTGAGCGTTACGTAACTCTGATTGGCTTAATGACTGCTGCTACTGCTACTGCTAATTAGTAATTAGTTGCTGCAACTTGGTCCGCTTGCTTTGTGGGCCTGCTGCAAAATAATAGAGCCCCATGCCAAGGTTGCTTAGCACAGGGAAAAAATGACTGATTAGCCTGCAACAAGTAATTCAGACAGAACCGCACGTAATTGCAATTGACTGGTCATCAATTGATATTTGATATTTACCTAAATTTAATTGCGTAAAGAGCAGCTTTGCTGCACGGATTATGAGTGAGGGTGAGTGTTTGCATAAGCCAAATCGAATTATAGAGTTTGTACTGCTGCATTTTAAAGTTAAAGATTGCTTTCTGAAGGGTCGGCATTTATTGTTTTAAAACTAATTTGGCCTGACAAATAAAGCGTTGTTTGTTTATTGTGTGGCACTTACATAATGATTGGCAAATACAATATACAATATCAAGCCTTAAAGTCACACCGCAGGACCTTTCTCAATTAAAAAGTCAACTAAGTGTATGGCTAAGCCGAAA